CACTTCCACAAGATTTCTTTTCTAATTCCTTCCTGCTTAATGTTTGTAAGAACCTACATAACCAATTCCAGCTCAGAAGGACTTTTGGGGATGGGCACAATTCACATTTAATTAACTTTTAGGACAAGTGAAATTATCCTTATTAATTAATTTCACTTTTTTGACAATAGTATATTGGGCACAGGTAAATAAGCAAATGCAGACTGTCAAGATAGAACAATCATAAGTGAAGATAGCAAGTTAGCGTAGAAGGAATATGGAAATAAGCATACATGGGTCAGAATACTGATCTACTGGGAAGCAGGCAAACCATTGATATAGGGATAAACCAGAATGTATTTTTATGGGCTCAGTTACTAAAATTCTAACAGATAACTCAGTTGAGAACAGGAAGGCTATTTTCCCTTCCATCCATCCAGTCCAGGAAGACCAGCTCTAATTACTGTAAGCAAGAAAATTTGTCAAAAGGCAACAGAAAAAAATCAAAATTTAAAGTGAAAGAAGCTGGACAAATACCAATATTGCCAATAAAAAAAATTACAGATATTTAAAGCAATAGAATAAGAAAAAACTTCAATGTTCAGGAGAAAAAAGAAAAACAAAGTAAAAAGAAAAACAAAGTAAAAAGAAAAACAAAGTAAAAAGAAAAACAAAGTAAAAAGAAAAACAAAGTAAAAAGAAAAACAAAGTAAAAAGAAAAAAGTAAAAAGAAAAACCATTTTGTATAATAAGAGTCTGAAACTTTTTTTTTTTATTTGTTTTTAATTGAAGTCTGGTCAATATCAGCACTGCTATAGACAAATTCAATGCATCTAATAAGAAAAGAAAGAATAACAAAATCAATTTAAAAAAAAAAAATTAATCAGGTTTGCTTAAGCTGTTTGGTATTGAAACTTGAGAAAAAAAGCTAAATTCAGTTAGAGAAAATGAAATGCCAAAATTTTAACATAAAAAATAAAATTATGTAAAAAGACAGAAAATTGTAGAAATAAATTTTTCTTTGTTTATTTTGAGATAGACTTGAAATTTTGTTTTGTTTTACATCCATTAAAGAAATTATAGTCTAAGATAAGTCAAAAATTATCTGAACTTTTGCCATAAAATATCTTTAGGTTTGTCATACTGCCTTCTGCTCATACATACTTATAGTTGGTACTACTGTGGTCATGTCATAAAAGTTTGAGTTTGCCCACAAGTTTTCTTGTTGCTGTTACAGTGTAAACATAGCCACCCCACTAGCAGTGTGCACCAAAGAGGAGCAAAGAGAAGTGATCCAATTTCTCTGGTCAGAAGGTTTCTCAGGAGCTAAAAAAAAAAAAATCAATCATAGGCTTTTAGCACAATACAGCGACAGAGCATTACTGCATAAAAGTGTGCATGAGTAGAGTGAGAAGTTTAAAAGCAGCTGGACAAGCATGATGCATAAAGAAGGAGCAGGATGCCAGTCAACCATACCACTAATGAGAAGATTCAGCATGTTCAAAAGATGGTAATGGTGAACCAGCAAGTTGTCATCAATGAGATAGCATATTCTCTGCAGATTTGAATTACTGCTCTTTGTTGCTAGCAGGGCAGCCATGTTTGCACTGTAAAAGCAGCAAAAAAACTGATGTAATCAAACTCAAACTTCAATCATGTGACTACAATTGTACCAAATATAAGTACACATGAACAGAAGGCAGTGTGACAAACCTAAAGATATACTATGGCAAAATGTGAATAATTTTTGACTTAATCTCATTCATATATCTCAGTTAAAATTAATTTATAACAATCACATAAGTAGAATCACTCCCCCTCCCACACACACTTTTATTGTATTCAAATTACTTAAATTATTAAATTAAGTTATATTGATGGGATCTGAACCAATTGACTAAGCCAAATTTGTCACATTTCAAGCAAAGCTTATTACTAACAACTTGGTACATTTTTTTAGTCAATAAAATTCAGAGGAAGTAATCAAATATGGTGTTGAGTTTAATATGTCTATTTGATATTAGCTCTCATTTATTCACATGAAAAAAAGAAACACCAAAAGTTGTGTGTGTGTGTGTGTGTGTATTAGATAAAAAATGTATGCATATAGAAATGATTTTATACACACATGTTTAATGTTAAGGATTTATGAATTTCTGCTAAAGAATGTCAAAGAAAATGGGCCCTAGTTAAGGAAGAGAAAAGCCAGCAATGTTTATAGAATTGAGAAGGAAAAAAGAAAAAAAAAAAAAAAGAGAGAGACATGGAAAGAAAGAACAGAGTAAAAATTTTTTTTTCTTCTTTAAAATATTAAAAAAAAACAAAAAAAAAACAAAAAAAAACACAGCACCAAATATTAAATGGGAACAGAAAAAGGAAATTGGTTTTGTTTTCTTATATTTCCAATTTGTCCATTTGGGTTGCCGTTGTTTATGCATCAAGTAGTGACAATAAGAAGAGACATCTTTTGTTTTATTGGGATGGGGCTGAGGTTCTAGTGAGGCAAGGGCAGACATAAAAATCAGGTTTCCCATTGTTTATATTCCATTCCTGAAGGCGGTTTCACTTCTACTGCTTTCTCACCAACCTCGCTCCAATTAGTGCTCAAGACTGTGCCACCAGATTCATACTGAAAAGGCAAACATTTTACATTTAATGCAAATAAGTTTTGGGAGTATTTTTTCTGCTAAAAACATACATGTTTAAAACTAGAGAATTTTCTATGCACTGTAGTTTAAAAATCATAAAAAAATAAATTAAAAAATTTAGTAAAAAACAAAAAAATTAAAAAAATTTTTTAAATTTCAAGCAAAAAAAGAAAACAATTTTTTAAATTAAAAAAAAAAAAAAAAAAAAAATAAAATAAAAAAAAAAAATAATTAAATGACCCACAAATACTACACACCATTCTTTCTAGGACTATCTTTTATTGGGAGGGGAGGAGAATAGACATCTGTACAGTGGGTAAATATTTTGCATTGTACTACTTTATACAAATAAAACAGCTGAATGTGATTGCTAAGTTAGATTAATTTTGACACAAAGTTACAATTCTTGAACCCTTAAGCAAAACCAATTACTCTTAGTAGCTTGCAAGAATGTTACTAGCACCTCTCAAAGTAAAAAGCCAGAGATTACATTGTCAAAGTTCTCACCAACATACAAGCAACAAAACATTTTTTTTTATTTTTTTAATGGTGATGAAATAATAATGGAAAATCCTCCCCGCCAACTTCTATAGCCATAACCAAAGCAGTTTCTGCTGAAATATAATTTTTTTCTCTACTGATAACCTCTTATTTGCAATTGGATTACAAAAACATTTTTTCAAAACTATTTATATCCATAAAACCTTTATTAGCAATTATAACCAGTAATTGGTTCTTGTACTTTATCAGTGATTTCAACCCACTCCTCTTTGGAAGGACTCCTCATGCATTACAAACATCTTCAGTTTAATTTCCATGTACTATTTACTATTGTCTTCGTTGTTGGTTTCACAGCATTTCAGTCAGAAGCACAGTGGCTGAAATACTATGATAACAACAAAGATGAGGATATTAGTTTACATGTAAATAATGATAACTCCTCATTCCAGAAATTTAGACAGAGGTCTTCCAAATCCTCAATTGGATTAAGGTCAAAACTTTGGTTTGGCCACACACCATCATTGACATTCATAATGAAGCATTTCTCAGGCACTTTTGACATGCATTTTGGGTCATTGTCTTGTTAAAAGGTCCACTGATGTTCCAACCCAAGACTTTTGCCAGACCAAGGTTTTTGTCCAAAATCTGAATAAACTATTCTTTCTTAAAGACTCCATCCAGTTTACTCATCCCACTGCCTGAAAAACATTTTCCTAGAATATTTGACTTTTGGGACAGTGTTATTTGGATTGAAAGCTTCATGCCCCCCCCCACATCCACCAACCATCACATTTTGAAAACAAAGGCAATAGCTGCATCTAATTTTTGTGTCATCTTACCAAAAGTTTGAATTCTTGTCAAAAAGGACACTCAACAAAAGGCTAGACAAACTTTTCTGTGCCTGGTCTGGAACACTGAAATCTTCCATGGAAGCCAGCCTTATACAAAACTGAATGGAGTTTCTATCAAAATATTTTCATGATGCCAGATGGTTATTAAGATTTTGGCCACATAAAGTGATGCCTTAAGTTTCCCACCTCATCCTTTGAGGTTTTTCACAGTATTGATATTTCTTGAATTTCAAGATAATGCCTTCAACTTTTGGAACTGGTATTTGGAATTGCTTGGATATGGCCAAAATCATCTTATTGCAAGCGCTTACAACATTTAACCCAATTTCTTTGATCTTAGCCATGACAAATGACTATGATAAACACTTCCATCTACTTAACTAGTCCAGAAGCAACACTATAAAGTACTAAGCTCCTTTCTATTCATCTTTAAAGGAAGAGAAAAATGATAATGTAAGGGAGAAAACTCAAATCCTTTCCTCTATAATTCATTTTCTTTCTTTTTCTAATATAGGCGTATGAATAATTTTGAATATGCATAACACTACGAATCCCCGACACGATTGGATCGGGATACACAAACAGAAATGGATAGTGAATGATTTTATCTGAGTCTTAAGTATATTGCTTTTTTTTTTATGACCAGCAATAAAGTCTATGTGAAGTGACTACCCACTAGACTAAAAAACGAAAAGAAAATATTACCTGATTTATGATCCAGGAAAAATACTTGTAATACAGTTTATTAATGTCAATATAGGTTTAATCAAATGAATAATTCCTATTGACCCTACTTAAACAAAAAGTCAGAAAGTTCAGCTTATATAAACAGACACAGTTTGATTGATTGATTTTTTTTTTTATAGCTTAACCTTTTGCAGGTTATTCAAAGCCAGATAATATTTTTAGATACTAAAAAATTTTTTGAGATAAAGATTTATTGATACAAGTCTTACTAATTAACCCATAGCTTGGAGGAGGAGAAGTGGATTCATACTTTTCCCAAAGGTATTTGCATATAGGTGAATATAATGAACCAGACTGGAATTGGAACTCAACTCTGCAATCTTAAGACATTATACTTTACATCACACACATCCAAACTTACAGCACCTGGTATTACTAAGTAGTCACCTCATCTAGATACTGACCGTGCTAAATCTTGCTAAACTTCAGTGGTTGTACAAGAAGTGGTGTTTCAACATGAGATGACCTTAAGCCAGCCACAGAATTGAAGATAGTTTTAATATAACCAGTTTTCCCAAGAGTTAGAGTTTGGATGCTGCTCATTAAAGAGTAGTTTTAAGCCAACTGTGGACAATTTGCAAGGGATGGACAGAGAGGGGGAGTGATAGGAGAGAGAGAGAGAGTCTACTTGTTGGTTGAAAAGAAAAGCTGATCCATTAGTCTGTTATAATAGAAGTAGCAAAAGTTGCCCCAAGTGTCACTTGCCTGCCTAAAATACACAACCATCCAGACCATGCAAATGTATCCCTAAATAAACAGCAAAATATATAAGAAACAGGATTTGGATTTTAATTTGTCACCTTGCCGTTAATTACAACCTTTTGTTCCTCGTGAACATGCAATGGCCCTTTCCTTGTTCTTGTGCAAATGGGCAATTTGTATGCCCAGTGAATAGCAGAGAGAGATGGCATCCATTATATGGTTATATGTGCCTCTTGTGATTAAATTGCAAAGAACATTTCAATTAAATTTATTTTCCTACACACGGGTCATTTAGGTTTTTAATCATGAAATATTAATTTATTAGTGTACAGACTTATCAATCCACTTTATAGATATGATTTCCTCAAAACTATAGGACATGGTAAGATCAACCTTAAAGTATGAAGTGTTATTTTAAGAACTGAATTGGTGAAAATACTATCAATTCAGCTGTGTAAAGTCATCTCATCTTAAGCCGACATTACTGTAAATTTACAAAGATTGACTATTTTTGTTTAGTGGCATATCAACCTAGATGATCATATAATGACCAAATTATATTTTATACACGATTTTATTTCTTTTTTGGTTTAGTGATACAAGTCTTATCCATGGATATTTGTGAGTAATATAAAGGAACCCAATGGGAATTGAAACTCTGTTCTTTGATTAACAGTTCAAAGCCATTATCCATTACACCAGCCACACATCCAAGTTTACAGCACCTGGTATCCCCAAGCAGTCACTAAACTAGGTACTGACCAAGCTCGATGTTGCTTAACTTTGGTGATCATATGGGAACTGATGTTTCAATGTGATGTGGCTGTAAGTCAACTTCATGGTAAGATTAACTATAAAGTATGAAGTGCTATTTTAAGAACCGAATTGGAAAAGATCCAATCAATTCAGTTTGTAAAGTCATCTTGTCTTCTAAAGCCTATTATGTAAATTTACAAAGATATGTGTTGGAGATCTGAATAATAATTCAATCTATTTAAATCTATTGAATTTGAGCTGAACTCATGACCATAAATATTCTGAGTACTTATTTGGAGCCATTCATTTTCTGGAAGCTTAAAATACTTCAGATTAAAATCTCAATAATATACAATTTTCCCCAGGAATTACTTGGCATATTTTTCTGGTAGAGAAAAGATAAAATGTATAACTTACAAAAGATTTGACCATAGCTCGTTTGACATCATCACTACCATCAGCATAGATCTGTTGAAACAAATGGTTCAATGCAGCATCTCCTTCTGGCTTCTCGTTCTTTTCCATCTCTGTCATATCACGCACAAATTTATCCCAGTTCCGAGATTTTGTATTCACAGTGTTTTGTTCACAGCCTGAATTTAAAAAAAGTCTGTTCAGAAAATACTAAGTTGGTGACAAGCTCTCTTGACATGAGAAACATACAGGATTCTTATCTTGGGATATCCTTTGTACTTCTAGATTTAAATTACATCTACATGTCTTTATGTGGTTTATATATTTGTGAATCTACTAATCAATTAAAAAAAAAAAAAAAAAAGAGAAAGGTAATAGAACAACAAAATCGAAAAAAAAGAAAAAACGAAAAAAAAGAAAAAACGAAAAAAAGAAACAAAAAAAAGAAACAAAAAAAAAAGAAACAAAAAAAAAAAAAAACAAAAAAAAAAAAAGAAGAAATAACAAATATAAATATATAAAAACGATAAAAATGAAGAAAAGAAAAAAGGTTATATGCCTGACTGATTACCTGTAGGAACTGGCACAGTGATAGGATTAACAACACAATCAGGACTACCTTCCAACTTGCTCCAATGTATACCATCTCTCTTTTTTAGCTTGATTTCAATCTGGAAATAATCATAAGTTTACAAAAATGAAGGCTCAAATATTTTTCTTGCTCTATGAGGGAATGCTTAATTAAAAACAACCATTAGAGGTAACAATATTATTAACATTAACTTTCCCCATTAAAAATCAAAAGGTATTAAAAGCTAATTTGAAATGGACAGGATTAGATTAAGGGACAGACACATTAGATTCACTTTATTAACAGTAAAATCCTTTTGCATTTAAAGATTTTTTTAAACGTTATTTGTAACGGCCATAAAAAACCCAAGTGGTATCTGGCCAGAAGGAAACAAGTCAAAAACCCTAATTGTTTAGCAGATTATAAAACGTTTCATTTTTCTGTTATGTAAACATGCTGCTTTTCAGCAGCACCTCCCCATATAATAAATAATAAATCACTATTTACATTTAAATAAAAATGTACTTACTTTGGAAGGTGTAACTTTTGTTTGACATTGATCAGGAATAATTTCATTGGCAAGATTGAGGTCTAATTTGTAATCCTCACCAGATGATAACTTTGCAATAAGATTTAACTGTAAAAACAAATTACATTTTCCAAATCAAAAAAGGTTTGAAATTCAAAAGACTTCATTAAAATAACTTACTCCCCACCCACCTGACATTAATTTCAATTTTTACCAAAGTATTCTCCTAACTTATTTAGTAGGCAGCAATGGTTGTATTTCAAATTATTCTTGAGGCTATTAAATAGAAATAATTGTTAATCTGAATGCAGCTATTTGTACCAAACTCATCATTTAATATTGATTACTTAGTGTATTTTGTATTTATTCATTACTACTACATTTGTATTTATGTGCATTTGTAGTTCATTTGTTTGCTTATTAATTTTTGTTGTTTTTTTTTTGTAGGTTGGTTATAATCCTTTTAATATCATAAACTTATTTTATATGATCTTCAGAAATAGACTGGATTCTGTCTCACTCAGTCTTAAAGGATCATCAGAAAACAGCTTTGTGACTAATCTTCTTATAAATTCTCCAACAAAATCATGAAAAAGAAATTTTCATTTTATTATTATTTTGTTTAACTTTCTGGCAAAACAAATAGCAAAAATAAAAAAAAAATAAAAATTATCAAAAAGTAAATGTAAAAGTAAATGTAAAAGTAATTAGTAATCAAAGATTGAAGAAAACCACCCAAAGAATGTGAAATTCTCAAATTATATTTGAAAAAGAAAAAAAAAAAAAAAAAAAAAAAAAAAGAAAAAGAAAAAAGTCCTCCACCCCCACCCAAAAGCTAACAAGTCAGGAAAGCATCTTGATAAAACTTGGAGCATGGATGCCATGCTATGTTTGGTCAGATGAACTAATTGTAGTCTTACCGTTTTTTTTCCATAATCAGCTTTCACATCTTCATCTTTCAATTTCTTGATAAGAACAGTGATCACAGCATGGGATTGTGTCTGGTACCAATCATGTCTGCAAAATGAAAACAACAAAAACACAACTAAAATAGCCACAACTGATAATAAATAACAATAAGCTGCATCTTTATAATGGTATAAGTATTTTAATCAGTAACTCTTATTATGATTCCAGTTTCTTTGAAATATTTTGCACAAAAATGACATTGTGGTTGCTATTTTTTTTTCTTTAAACAAAAATCATTTAATATTAGATAAAAATAAGAAATTACATTTTCATTGTTTTATATGAAATATAAAAATTGAGAGGAAATGAATTTAATGAAATTTACCACTATGTTGTTTGAGATTTTTCTGAATTCCTGGGAAGGAAACAAAAAAAAAAAACAAAAAAAAAAACCAAAACAGAGTAAAATCTAAAGTGGAAAGATAATTATTATGCAAATGATCAATCCAATTTCATCATAAATACATTCTTGTCCATCACCATTAATTAAACTTCTCTATCACCTAAAATATTTAGTATAGAAAGTGACAACTGAACAGAATACTGGTAAAGAAAAACTGAAATCTCATTCACATTGTACCAGGTTCAAATACAAGCATTGCTTAAATGCAACTCTAGTCATTATCATCTTTATCGTGTTGACAATATTTTATCATACAAACTATATGGCATCACTGGTTACTTGCAATTTTGTTACTTGGAATGACTATATAAGGGGATACTCAAAAATTGCTAGCCAACCCAGCATTTTCCAACAACCTTCGTCAATTATGTAAGGGAGATAACGCGACAGTATACTAAATGGCAGGTAAAAATAATTGGAATCTTATTTTCAACTAATAATATTTTGGTAGATGTTATATCTTTAAAATACAAAAAGGTGAGAAATTTGTACAAATAGAAATATTTCATTGTTCTATACAAATGTGAAATACATTATGTATTAAATACTAGACCACAAATTTCATGTTTTTGAGATTTAGTTATGTAATTGCTGAAAATCCGAGTTTCATGAAATATCACCCCCCTCTTCACATTTGAGGGTGAATTTATTTTTTCATTACTAATTCTTTATTTCTTGGTATCAAGCACTCTAATTATAAAGCCTACTTGCCTTAAATACATTATCTTCAAGAATGGCACTTGTTGACCAATTGTCAGTGACATAATTTTTTTTTTTTTTTAATCATTTCACCCCAAGCAAAGCAGCATAGCCACAAAGACATAGGGGGTAACTGAGTGTAAAAAATATAAAAAACATTAAGGAGCAAGAATAAAAAAAAAATACTACAAATTAAATTCCAGTCAAGTTTATGTTTATTTATGTGCAAATACCATTGGGAAAGGTATGAATCCACTTCTCTCCCAGCTATGGGTTAATTAGTAGTGCTTGTCTAAGTAAAAATCATTATCATCTCCAGAACAATAAAAGAACAGGAATTAATACGGAAAATAATGACTGACATTGGATTTAAATTTTTCAAGATCAAATTTGACTGGAAAGCAAGAGGCCGGAAGAGAGTTCCACAAGCAAGAAGAGCAAGAAAAAAACTATTAGCATAGAACTTCTGGTAACATCTAGCCATTTCAACTATAAAATGATGAGATCTTGCCACTAATCTAGTAATGTGCTTAAATTAATAGAATCAATGTTCATCAGAACAATTACCATGAAAGTATTTATAGAAAAGGCATGAGGAAGCTAGGAGAAATTGAGAAGAGGTCAGGTCATAACCAATATCATTGCAGATTCTTTATTATCAAGAATTTCTAAATACTTAGAAGCAACAGACCAGACATGACAAGATATTCATTGCATAGGTGAATGGGAGACTTGTGTGTATGTGTGTTATCCATGAAGGAGTTTTAAAATAGAATATTTTATGTTTTGTGTCTCTCTTTATACACATCAGAGAGAACCATCTTTCTTAATAGCAGACCTAGCAATCAATTCAATATAATCTTTCCCCTATCAGCAAAAAATGTTAGCCTGAGAAAGTGCAACAAATCACTCTTCTGGAGGTTAGCATTATCCACACTGATAGAAGACAGAAAGGGTTCGCTTGGACAATTAATAGAGAGCAGTTTTGTTTTGGAGTCATTAAAATTAACAAGCCATTCCTTGCCCCAGTTAACAAAATGTAGGTGATTTTTTTTTTTTTAGATTAGCTGCCAATTTAACAATATCAAACCAATCAGACTTATTTTTGTAATATAAATTCTCAAAATATGGCAACGGAAAACTTTTATATATTATTTTATAAAAAATGAAAGACCCTGAAACTGAACTGCATTAGAGGAAGAAAATCTGTGATACACATTTGAACAAGCAGAGCTGCTGCTGTGAATGTAGATAGAACAAAATATATAAATCTCAATCATGCATAACATGAAACAAAACTGAACGTTTTTTTTTTTTTTTTTGGCAAGATATCATTATTAATACTTTTAGTGGTTATCTTTTACATTTATCTCAGGACTTGTACAAGCAACTTAAAAAACACACACACAATGGAATTGTTTATTTTTAAGTGGATAGCATGGTGGTATGATCATCTATTAGTAAATTGCATGCACACGGTTTTAGTTTTAGAAAAAAAAATTAACCTATTTTCATCTGCCCATTTTTGAATTTTATTGAAGTTTTGCATTTTTCTTTCTACCAACATTTAGGGATGAACAGACGATGGAAAAGACCTTCACAAGCAGATTTTTCAATTTCAATACTATTTTAATGATGTTATTAATTTTTAATATAAAACGTGTGGCAGATAGCACACTAAACTGTGACACTACCATTTCTTGCTTACACAATTTGGTATGGTGTTCTCAAAGTAGACCTTGAATAGCCAAAGTTCTAAGAGATTTCCAATGAATATGAAAATTCTTTCTTTTATATCCCTCATTATTCTGTTTTTCCAAGTTAGTGTCAAATGCCCTCTCAGATCAAAGAAAACAGACATGACCTGGTGCCCTCAGACAAAGCAGTCATGTACAAATGTCTCAAAGTGAACAAGTTGGTCGATGGTATTCTGGTTGTCGATATCCAATTTGATGTTCATATATAGCACTGTATTTTTCTAAAAGCCAATGGCAGACCAGTGTTAACCATCCTTTCCATTGTCTTGCATATACAAATGGTTAACGAGATGGGGCTGTAGTTGGTTGGATTTGTGGAGTCTGTTAAATTTAGGGATTGATATGATTATTGTTTCAAGCCATGATTTCGTGAATTTGCCTGAATACCATACGTCATTATAGATGGTGATGTCATGGTGAATAGTGTATTGTATTCTTTGGTATTGCTTGATGTATAGTTCTTTTCTGCATTATTTTTTAACCTCTGGAAAGTTGAAGAGTGATATATTGAGTTGTTTTTTTGAGTTCTGTTGCTAGTAGGTTAACTATGTTTTTTTTCTTTCTGTACCTTAATTTCCATTTGTTTTGTTGAGATATATTGTGCTAGTCTGTATTACATTCTCATTGATTCTTCTATTTCCTCTGTTTTATTGATTGCTGTTTGGCAGTTTAGTTTGGAGACATAGATTTGCTTGGTTCTTGTTTGGTGTTTTTGATGATACATTGTATTTTTGTACAGGCTTCAAGATAATTTTGTAGATTGGCTGTTGCTGGGTTTAGTTTAAACTTTTCTTAGCATTTTTCCCCATATTTTTATGGCTTCTCTGCATCCTATGGTGAACCAGGGTTTGTGTTTGTGATATTTGTTGGTAGAAGATTTGGAAATTGTTTGCAGCGCTATACTAAATAATAGTTTTGTGAAGAAGGATATTGGATCTGGGTATTTGATTGTATATTTGCAATTGGCAAATTTCTGTGCAATGTGGGGGCCACCAGTTTGCCTTGTTCAGTTATCATTATGGGGTTTTCTCTTCTTGCATTGAGCCGTTTGTTTTGATAAATATTGGGAAGTAATCACTAGCACATTAGCCTTCATTAACTTTCCATTGGAAGTTCATGAATATTATAGGGAAATGGATTTACCAATCTAACGCAGACACAGCAGCTGGTTGCATATAGGTGTGTTATCAGTCATTTAGGATGCAGACATCTTATTTCTAGCATGGAGTATTATTTTGCTATCAGATTTGGATTGTGCACTACCTCAGAGGTTATTAGGTAGGGAGTTGTTCTATTAGATCATCAATTTCAGATGTTTTTAGTTTGTGTTTTAGTAGAATATATATTGAGTAGATTGTTGATGTGTAGTGTAAGGTGCTCTTTACTGTGTTAGTTGTTTGGGTAGTCATTTGAGTGATGTATATTTTGTGTTCATGTGAGTAATTGATAGCTGGACAGAGAAGAAGGATATTGGATCTGGGTATGTTTTTGTTTATGCTTCTAAGTTTTAGAGCTCTGGTCTTCCATGTCCATATATTCCATGCTCTGCGATTGGTTTGTTTTCTTGGTTGTGAGTATAAGCTTTTCAAGTTGTTTGCATAGCTTTATTTACTAAGAGGGTCTCTTATTTTCTCTTTTCTTTGGTGAAATTTATGTTTGTTCATTTTTGGTTCTGAGTCTTTTGTATTAAGATTTTCAGTTTTGTGTTGGGTTTAGTCACTTTTTTTTTTTTTTTTTCCTCCATTGTCATTTTTCCTCTTTCTTAAGAAGGATCAGATGAACATTTTTCTCTTTACTATTTGGTAATTGTTTCTTGGGGGTTTTCGTGTTCATTTCTTGGTTCTGGCTAAGTTTGGGTTGTTTTTAATTGCTAAGTTGATTCATTTTTTGGGGAGAGGTTGTTGATAGAGTTGGTTTCGTGTCCCTTAAGATTAGCTTTGAATTCTTTTATAAATATCTAGCCAGTCATCTGGACCAAACTGTTGCAGTCTTTCTATATTTTACTTTTTCTCTTGCACAGGATGTATTTTCTTCACATTATAAAACATTAGAGTATGTAATTCTGCTTCTTAATGTTTCTACTATTTTCCTTGCTTTGAGGAATGTAAAGTTCTGACTGTACTTTAATTCTTAATATTTCCTTTTCTTTTTCTCCATGATTCACATATTTGTGCATGATTTCAACCACAATTTGCACATTTAATCATATTCCTGCATTGATCCTCTGGATAATCTGGCTCCTTATCACCACATTCTTTGCAGACCTTTTACTTTTTCCTCCAAACTTTTCCCTCTATTTTCATGATGTCCATACTTTTAACATTTGAAACATCTTAAAGAGTTAAGGATATACTGTTGGACTTTTTCTATTATATATCCAATTTTAATTGATCTTGGGATTGTAAGAGTGTTAAATGTTATATATGTATTAACTTGTATTGTTTCTCCATCTTTGTTTATAGGTATCCTTTCTTATGTTGCTGGCATTGTTTTTTAAATCATTTATTTCTTCAATGGAGTAGAGGGACACTTCCTTACTTTTCACTACTCCCTTGGAAGAGTTAAACGTTCCATGTGGGTATGTTTTTATCTTGTTTTTATAGAAGTTGTCATTTTTATTTATACATTTTGCTTTTTCAAGTTCTACCAGTAAGATACCATCTCTTGCTTTTGTTACATTTTGAGAGGGTTATGTTTGAGCATATGATATTTTCTATTAAGAATGAGAAAAGATTCATTTGTAGAATATCTCCTGTTGATTCAAGAACTCTGAATTTCAGAAATTTTTCAATTTCATTGTTAGAATCAGATTCTGTAAGCATTCTCTAAGTTAATTTGTTATAAAACATATATTATGTGAGATTCCATCATCCACACTCACCACAGAGACCTATAATGGGTTATGTCAGGATCATCTGGACTTTAACAGGGCTACATGTATGATAAACTCATGTTTAAGAGAGTCCTCAAGCACTTGTAAGCCATTGGTTACTCCTACCAAGTATAGTCGGAACATCTGGGGTAGACAACTATGTTGAGGTTTGTACCTTCAAACCCACTGACCCTATGTCACGGGTTACTCAGCCACCAGGATTCCATCCTTAGACATCATTGGTTGCCACGAATGGTCAACATTTTTTTTTTTTTTTTTTGTGGAAGCTTTGCCCCTCTGTGTGGAAATGCAGTCAGCATTTATTCTCAACCCCAACCAGCAGAGCCGTCTGTTTCAGTACTTGAATCTGTTATGTATAGGTATTAAGGTATTACCTGTTATTTATTTAGATGTCAAAGTAAAATGGAACATTGATAAATGGAGAAACTTTGAGATTATATATATATATATATATATACAGCACCAGATATTTGAAAACACACCTTCAAGCGAGTCATAAATAGAAAAAACCTAACAATGTTATGCAGTGTGCACCAAATTTTAACATTCTCTTCCAGATGTATTGAAAGAATTAAAAATGGTAGCTTCCAATCTGATACAAGAAAAGGCATACCATGCTCATTGCAGAAGCCATCAACCACAGCAATTGAGAGCAGGTAACCTGTGATTCTTTGAAAGCCCCCATCATTATAGCCTACATAAAAAAATTGTGTCACTTCGTACCAAATTTTATTGAATAACTTTCCCCATTCCCAAGATAACCACAAACAATTTTTTGAAAATACATTTTTTTTCCTTCAACTGAATATCTTTTTTTATAATATAATTTGTTCTCGATTACCTGGTGAACCATACAATTGGAAAAAATAAAATAAAACTAACTTTGTCCTGCTTGGTGTCAGGGACGGTGGTGAGGGAGACAGAGGAGCTGCAGCAGCTTCCACAGACTTAGACTGTGGCAACTTTTGTTCATCATGATTGTTGGAAATTGCTTCATTTGGCTCTGGTACTGAAAACGTTAATAAAATTATAGTCTCATCAACTAATTGACAGCTTCATTGCTTTAAGTTAATATAATAATAATGTAATATATTAAGTTAATAAATACACATATATACACACAGAACAATAGATAAGATTTATAATATCAGTTAATGGCCAGGGACAATAAGTCATGAAAACTCAAGATCTATTTTGAGAAAATGTTTTAACATTCAAGACAATTATATTTAATCACAACAAATCTAGAGCAAAGTTAAAAAAAAAAAAAAGTGTCAAAAAGACAAATCTAGAGCAAAGTTAAAAAAAAAAAAAAGTGTCAAAAAGACTGCTATTACCATATATTCCCTCAATAATTTTTGTTTAAAAAAGATATTTTCAGAATTTTAATAGGATCATAACATGAAATTGAATTTTATACAGTTTTTCCTCAAGAATTACCAGCAAAAAGGCTAAATACGTTACAATTATTATTTGCAAGATGATTAATTTATAATCTGTAATTAACAAGATGAAAATTTAATTTTTTTTTCTTTTTTTAAAATGGAGGAAGAAAGAGAAAAAAGTTTCATTAATTTTTATGGTTTTAAAAAGTACTTTTATAATTAGAAAAAGAAAAGAAAAAAAGAAACATAACCTTCAAAATTGAATTTATATATTTCTTCCCTCATAATTAACCCAAACTACTTCAGATCTTCTTGCTTTAATTTTTCAAGTGGCATTGAGTTTCACCATTCACTTTTTTGGTTATGGTTTTAATAAAATCCTAAAAATATCTTTAAAAGAAAAATTACCAAGAAAAACATTCTTTTGACGCAACACTTGTTTTTTTTTTTTATTTTTTGCTTGGTCCCATGTTAAACTTTACCAACCAGTGAGACTCTTAAAAGAGACTAAATAAAATTAATTTTTCTCCATATCACAATTATTCTAGCATCATTTCTTTTTTTTTGTTTTCTCAATCTTTATGCAACAGTTCAGTATATAATACTTTGAAAAAAAAACAAAAAACAAATGCTATCAATTTTCACTTTGTTATTTGAACAGGCATACTCAAAAAAAAAAAAAAAATTCTGGTAAGTTTAAGTTAATAAAATAGCAAGTAAAAATAAAAAATAGTTGCCAGTTTCGTCTTAATGTTAAATTTTAGGTTTTCTAGTAAGGCAATACACCAATTATGAAAAAGTTGTTGCAAACAAGAAAAATGAATGAAGATTTTTTTATAAATAAATTTATTTTTTATCTAGGAATCCACTTAAATTAGAAGAATAATTAAAATAGTTCTTAATTTCACTTTTAAAATGTGTATATTTCCAGATATGCGAGTCTCTAGTGTAAAATTGTTTTTTTCTACAAATAAAAATTTTTAAAAAAAATTGTTTCTATCTAGCGAATAAACCTAAAATTAGATATAAAAAAAAAAAAATAAAGTTTTACTCTGTTTTAAAAATGTGTATATTTTCAAAACCTCAAATCAATTTTTTTTTTCAAAACCCAAAGTAAAAATTATTCTTTTTTAGTTACTAGTGTTCAGTGGGTCTTTTGCCTATAAAATTCTTCTAAACAAGGAAAATTAATTTATTTTATTTTTACAAATATCTTAATGAATACACTTAAGATTATATATTAAAATGATTAAAATAGTTTTTAATTTCAGTTTTAAAATGTGTATCTAAAAAGAAACAGGTGATACTCGCAGATTTGGAAATATACACATTCTAAAAATGAAATTAAGAACTTTTAATTATTTTTAATATTTAATTTAGATAATCTAGATAAAATTTATTTAGGGGGAAAAAATAACTCATTGATTTTCTTTGTTTAGAAGAAATTTATTATATGCAAAACCCAATTAAACAGTTGACTGGTGTACCAGAAAAAAATTGCCATATTTTTAATTATTTTAAACAGGAGGGGTTTCCTTTTTTGGCTTTTTAAAAGCCACATCATAAACTAGTTTCTGGAGAGCTATACCATTTTTTCTCAAAAATATTGTCCAAAGATACAAATATAGATATTTTATGCAACGATTTTTTTCACATGTTACAAATTTATTAATAAATATGGTAGTTATAATCGACAATTTATTTGAAAGTTTAATAAACTTTAATCTTAGTCATGAATTCTGTGACTAAATTATTTTTTAAGCCTAAAAACTGACTTTAGGTGAACAATCCCTACTTTATTACCCACCCCAATTCGTGGTTTTCGGCTTTTCAATTCCAGTGGTCTTTAATGCATGTCTATAAATTTTTATTATCCTTACTTAAAACCAAATATTGACCCCTTATGCACCAGTTAACAGACTTCCACAATGACAGATGTTTCAAAAAACAACATTCGAAAGTTGAAAAGTATATGGGGCATTTATTTTACACAACAAGACAGTAGTTTTGTTTCAATAATTTAAGAGTTCTTTTACCACACATACTATCAGTTAATCTTTTTTTTTTTTCTTTTTTTTTTTTTGCTGCTTACTTTATAATTTTTGAAGGGATTTGCTTCCATGGGTCAGAGAAGAAATAAACAAATTCCTGGTTGTAGTTTAAGGTGTCTTCTAATTGAGTGTACAATTTTAAGAATATTGATAAAGATTGGTCACTTTGATTTTGCAAAATATAATCTTAAAAAAAAATAATATTTAAAATAATATTTTGCATTTTCAGTTGCCCAAAACAAAATACTGTTTTAACTCACTGTAAAAAAATAATTGAATGAAAAAGCATACAAATTACATATTTAGAAAAATTATTTTATTTTCTTTACAGCCATATGAATATTTTTAAGATTGGACCAGAAATACAATCAATCTCAAACAAAATCAGATGTTGCTTAGATTACACAAGAAAATGAATGGCTTCTTTAAAAAGCAAAAATACTAAATTAAAAACCAAAAAACTGAATCGAAAACTGCAATATTAAGGAAAAAAAAACGGAAACCGGTACCAAAAACAAATTGCCAAACCAACCAACTCTAATATATATCTCAATTTACTAAATTCTTATCCATTCCAATGAGTGCAAACCAAATAATCACTTTCAATGTCAAAAAAACTTTTGGAAAATGCATTAAAGTTAACAGCTTGGCAAGGTTTAATTTTCGTACCCACAAAAAAACGGAATGTCAAAAAAGATGGTTTTCCCCTTGAGATCATTATTATTTTAACTACCTTGACTCCTTAGCAAATTTTTAGTTTTAAAAAGCAATGATTAGAATTTTAATAAAACCTGAACATATGAAATTGAATTTATAGACTTTTTGCCCTTAAGAATTTACAATAAAAATATTAAACATTATTTTCTAGATTGTTGGAATGGCAAGCTAAATGATAAATATTACATTGCATTAATTTTAATAGAATTGTATTATTTTTTTATGTTAAAAGTATAAAATTATTCTTGTAAATCACCAATCTAATAATTAATGTTTAATATTTTTGTTGTAAATAGAAAAATATGTAAATTCACTTTCATATTTCGAGGTTTTATTGAAATTGTAATCATTGCTTTTTAAAACAAACATTAACGAGGAATGAAGATAGTTAAAATAATAGCAGTTTCAATGGAAAAAAAAAAAAATTTGACACACCATTTTTTTTGGAAGGTACAAAAGTTAAACATTTCCAACATTCATTATTATATAATGTTAGAGACCAAACAAGACCAAGTTTTACATTCCAAATTTTTTTTGTTCATAACTAATGATAATAATAAATTTTCTAATTCTTATTTCTGCTAATATTTCCTTGTAAGATATGGAAGCTGTTGTAGTTATTTCTTTAACTTAAATATTCTCTAAAGCAAGCTTCAAAGTGTAATCTGACATATAAAGTTTAATCCCAATATTTTACATGAATTTGTTGAAATAAAAAAAACCCAAAAAAAACAAAAAAAAAAAAACACACACACACATATATCTAGAAAAAGAGAAATTCATATATATATACATACAACCAAGTTTTTCTCTGCAGGATTTTAACCACACCTCAAAAGTTTCATTTTTATCTGAAATTAGATAAATACGAATTTTTAATTTCCTTTTACACTTATGAATTTAGAAAATTTTTTCGATAAATTTCAGCTTCAAGTTTATTAATGATTAATTAATTCATCTTCTACAGATTATCAACCCTTTTCAGGTTATTTAAAGGTAGAAAAATATTTCTAGATTGTAATAATTTGGTTTGGGGTGGGGATAATGGTTTAGTGATACAAATCTAACAAATTAACCCATAGCTGGAGGTGTAAAGAGATTGTCATACCTTTCCCAAGTGTATTTGCATGCAAGTGAATATAATGAAACCAAAAGGAATTGGAACTCAGCTCTCTGATTAACAATTCAGAGCCATTATCTATTACACCACCCACACATCCAAGCCTACAGTACTTGGTATTCCCAAGTGGTCACCCATTTAGGTACTGACCAGGTTCAAGATTGTTTAACTTTGGTGATTGTACAGGAACCAGTGTTTCAGTGTGATGTGACTAAAAGCCTTTAACATTTGAATACAATAACATATTTAATAATAATAAAAAATGGTATTTTGTAAGTGTTTATAGATTTTGAATAGCATGTACATATCAAAAATGTAGCACAGATTTTTGCTACTTTTTCTGTATTCCATGTCCTTTCAAAGACATGGGTGATCATGTCTCTCCACAATTTCCCATCCTTTGTAGCCCTTAGTAAAGTTTGTTTTACTACATCTAATCCCTGTTCTGCCAACCATTTACACAAGCTTGTTGATAGTTTATGTACTGCTTTACTCTGCCTCTACCTTCTGTGAAATAATAACAGAGCTAGCTCAAAGGAAACAATGCTACGGGTAAATAATTCAAGTTTTGGGATACCACCTCCTTTTATCACCTTGGGGCAGAGAAACTATCAAAGTCTAGTAATTTCAACCATTGTTCATGCAATGTTTATTTAAATTATACTTTATCCAATGAAGTCGATTGTTAATCAACTATTTATTAAGTATTGTTTTAAAGACTGATATTAATGACAATACCAATCAACGGTGCAAATGAGTTCTGTTCAAAATTTAGACACAAAAGGAATACATGCCTGCTTTTCTGTTAAATAGCAAGTGGCAATAATCATTAAAAGAGATAATCCAGACAAAGTCAATATCAACTCACTACTTAATTTCTTTCCATTCTGGAACGTCTTCAGGGCTTCTTGGTAATTCTTTAACTCAAACTGGCAAATACTGACAAAGGAAAGAACAGACAAAATTTTAAATAAAACAAAGAAATATTTTTGCCAAAACTCAAATAAAAAATTATCAAACTGGTTTGACACAGGAACAATAAAAGATCTCTACTACCAATTTATAGTTTTTGAAAAAAAATATTTTTACCTTGAAACAAAAGGTCTGAATAGATTATCATGGTAATTAATCCAAGAAATTGATTGGTCTGAAGATCATTAAAATTTTTAAATTGGTGAGAGGGCGATGTATATATCGATATTAATTATAGATGTAATCCTGTTCAAGTATAGGATGTATTGCACTTATAAATAGCAATAGTTTCCAGCTATAACAAAGTTTGTTTTAAAAAGAACATTACCCATTAATAAGAAACTATAGCTGAGCATATATATATATATATATATATATATATATATATGTTTTTCAACATCATCACTTGATAAGACACAGAGTGTGTTGAAACAAAATGGCTATTTTTGTAGTGATTTTTATAGCATACTTATGTTATAATTTTTTATAAAAATAATTATATATATATATATATATATATATATATATATATATATAAGGGTTATGACTTTTGTAGAATAATTGATTTCCTGTATCATAATTTGATGAACTGTTGTTAAAAAATAATGAAGAGTTTAATTCAGTTTATTTTTTTAAAAATGTCACACACAAAATTTCGAAAATAGTATAGAAGTTTAGTAGTACTATGAATTTCTGGAGCCTTTTAGAACTTGTTTTTGTTTATTTGTAAGTTTTTATGTTATGCTATAGCTATAATCTGTTAAATATGTTAAAAAATATGTCAGTACTATCCAATTACATCATCAGCAAATTGAAAAATAAAGCTTCTGAAATATCTTAATTTTTTTACCTTTATTGTGTATATGGTAAGATCAAATTTTTGGTTTGGGGTGACTTTTTTCAAGAACTAAAACAGATTAATGCCTTTTTCATTGCTTTTGAACAAAAGTTTGATTTATGACACAGGAACATAGAGTTACATAAATGTCGTAACCCTTATATACATATATATCACACACACGCACGCACACACACATACATACACAGGGTGGTTGAAAAGTAACTCCCTATTTTATGTATGAGTGGCCAGCCAGGAATCCTGATTTAACACACTTTGATTTTTTCTTTGGGGTTGGGTTAAAGGAGCAAGTCTACTATACCAAACCAAGACTTTGGAAGAACTTGAAGGGTGAATACCAGAAGTTATGTCTTCATACCACAAGAGTTCCTGGTGAAATCAGTTGACACGATTCCTTGGATGGCTTGAGAAGCTGGTAGTGAAATCTGGTGCCCATATTGAATTTTAAATAAAACCTTATGCTAAATGCTTTCTTCTCAAATCCATTTCTTGTAAAAATTATAGTTAATAAATAAATTATAATTATTCTAAAATGGGGAGTTATTTTTTCAATCACCCTATATATATATATATATATATATATACACACACATATATATGCTAAAAATATAGTTTTAAGGTATACTATATTATGAGTAGTGCTCAATATCAGAGAGCATATGAAAATGTAAAATTGGACACTGAGGTTAACACCATGTGGCTGTGGTGTTTCATGCTTGAACACAATCTTCAGGTATGAAACAGACTGTCACTGCTTGGTGTTGACCTTAGTGCCCAATTTTACATTTACACACATTATTTTGGGTGGTTACCCATATTTGAGTTGCTTTTTCTTGTTTGGGATTTTTTTTTTTTTATTTATTGAAGTGAATTTAATAAAACTATCCTTGTTCTACTACTAAAGAAAAATTATATCTGACAACAGAAATCGAGCCTGAATCCCCTTTTTTTTTTTTTTTTTTCATCAGGAAAACCATTTTTTTAGCCAAAGCGTGCTGCTACAAGTTTGGCCACAAAGACCAGCCTGACAGCAAGTTTTGAATTAGCACATTTCTTGTTGGAATTTCAACAAATATAAATGATATTCTAACCTTCTATTCAAATGGTTAAAGCTTGAGAAGTTTGTATAACAAATTTGTTGCGGCAGACAGGGAAATGTACAAGACAATGATGACCAATTCTTTTATTGTTTGCTTGACGAGCATGATAGTTGAATGAAACTCCTTACTTATTTTATACAACCTTCTCCAACTTAGACAAATGGTACAACCCAGTCTTCCTTTATGCCATAGTGAGCTACACTCATCCAATTCCTTTCTAAAATTTAATATTGCCAAACAAATGAATAAATATTCAATAAGCTCCTGATTAATGCCTTTGACAAAATGGGGATGCAAATTTACCAAAGACTTTTCACAATTAAAAAAAATTATTTGATACCAATAACTAATATCAAGTGATACTTACCCTTTTCTAAGAAGAGCTTTTTCAGAGTTAGGGTCTAATGATAAGCACTTTTCTGTATCCAAGATTGCCTCTGTAAATCAAAATCAAACACCAAGTTAAAACAAAGTTACAGATTTTAAGAAAAATAGAATCATTCTGAATATAAAACCAACTACTGGAAAAAAAAAAAAAAAAATCAGTAATTTCAGGCAAACTACAATGAATTTCATTTTAAGAAAATCATCAGTTATCTGTAAAAATATTTCAAAGTTATTTAAGATGATAAAAAAGAACTACTGCAATTTTTCAATTATCTGACAGCTGTAAATATTCTTCAGCACAAAGTAAATTAGACAGTTTTATATTGTTAATTTATTTTGGTATTTGTGAATAAAAATTAATTTAAAAAAAATAAAGGAAGTTATAAGTTTTTACTAGTATTTCTTTCATTTTAATTTCAGTTATTTATCAAAAATTTCCACAAATCCTTAGTAAGCTGGAGGCTTATTTTTTTATCTCCATGACATTTTGCTTTCTATTGATAAATGGAATGAGAATTTGAGAATTTCATTAAAAAAGAAACCGAAATAAAATTTTTAAAAATATGAAGAAAAAATAACTGACAAAGAAACTGAAATAATATTGCTACTCGTCTTACTAAGCCAAATTCAATGACTGTATATAAATACACAACTTTGACTGTTGAACTGATTCTTCCATGATAAAACCAAAATCTGTTTGCAGACTTAGCAAAAAGAAAAAAGTTACCATAAAAATAACTTTCACAAAGCAATTCATCAAGAAAATTTTATATATAGAGGCTGATTAAATTAACAGTTCAAATATTTTAAATAGTAACTATTTAAGGTAATCTAATCAAGTAAAACTTTTCTTGTAATCAGTTACCAAGTTCACAAAATGGTTTGTAATAGATGACACGATGTGTATTCTGCTGTGTAATATTAGTGACCTTAGGGAAGAGGCCCATTAGCCTCATTTGGACAACAAGCTGATAAAGTTACATTAATTCCATCAAACTTATTGAAAGGAAACATTTGTGAATAGGATTACAATACTTGCTACAAGGTATGCACTATTTTTTGTATTTTCTATTCTACACAGAGTGCAGCAGAGTGAGATATCAACATGTGTCAAGCAGTTAAATTTGTTTTTAATAGAAAAACTAAATCACTAATATTAGCTAACTCATCACTAAGGTCACAAGAAAGCTACTACAGAAGTATAAGAAAAATTTTACCCTCGTCTACTTTGCAAAATATCAGATTTATTTTTGTAAGGAAATCTTTTCAACACCTCCCTTATATATATATATATATATATATATATATATATATATATGAAAGCTGAAACTGTACAACCAAAACGAGCATTTCACAATTCTAACAATTTTTGCCTTTTAGCATATTTATATATTTAGAACAAACAAAATTATTCAAATATATAGAAGATATACTTACTCTCATATTCTCCAATCTTAAAATAAGCATGCGCTCTATTTGTGTAGTAAACAGCTTTGTTTGCATTGGCTTTAATGGCTTCTGTGAAGAGCTATTTAAAAAATAAAATAATTGTGTTTTATCAATAACCAATTCTCAAATTACAAAATACAAATACAAAGCTCATTTAATAGATGTAGAGAAACAATAGCAATAACAAGAGAGATAAAGAAAAAAAAAATTTTAAATTCTCCCCAAATTTTGATCAGACAGGAATACGAACATAGGTCTAATTTTCACACACAATAAATTGATTTTTAATTTGCATCATGAATGATTTTCATTTGAAAAGAGGACAGGTAACCAGTCAGGGTTCCCAGCTTAATCACTGAATAAAATTCCCCAATTTTCAGGTTGGCTGTGAAACCAGTACATATATTGCCATGAAAATTTCATACCATTTAAAAAAGTGTAGGGGTCATGTAATAATGTTTGAGCAGCCTTCAATGTATGCATGATTGCTTGGAAACAAGGTATGTCAACTTTAAAAATACAAGATACAGAGCAGGAGGTAATAAAAGACAGACACTCATTTTCCCAAAATATCATCTTTTCATTAATATTTCCACTAGTTGGAATAAAAAGAAAAAAATGTCATAAGTTAAAAATAAAAGCAAGAAGTCTGCAAAAGGCTTAAAATAAACATTTACAAAGTATTGAGCAGTTTCCACAGTCATTTAAAACTTGTTTTTTTATCTGTTTTTTTTTTTTTTTTGTTTTTTTAAGAGACTTCAAGATTATAAAGTTTCTGGTACTTTTTAACATTAAGTCATGTAACGTAAATCAATTTTAGTACATAATATAGATTCCATACATATGAAAATGGATTCAATTTTACAATTTTAAAACCAAATAAAAATAATAAAACAAATCTCACAACAGTGCTAAACTGAAGTCACAGGAAAGTGTATTTTCCTGCTCATATTTGTTTTTCTATGAGAAGAGCAGACACATTACGCTACTTGAAAAATGGTCATTTTTCTCTTGTAATAGATTTACATGATTAATTACTAAAACTCTGAGATCAAGAAGTGAATATATAAATTAAATACTTACAAATTCTATGAAAGGAAATAAACAATTCCATGATTAAGAAAGCAGTTCAAAAAGAAAATTGTATTTGTTGATTGATTGTTGGTTTTCTACAGCTAATCAACCATTTACAAGCTATTTAAACCCAGAATACATTTTTTAGATAAGAATGGTTTATTCATACAAGTCTTATAAATAACCCATAGTGGAGACTATGACAATACACTGGATATAGTCACGGGAGGACTATGAAGCGACTACAAAACATGCACTAAAGTCAGAAGGTTCTACTTTGAAGCAGCTTAGAGTTCTGTATATTTATAACACAAGACAATTATAAAACTTACAGAGAAGAAAATCCTTTGTTAGAGTCTGAGAATGTTCCATCCCATTATTTGAAAGAAGACTATCCAGTCAATTCTCCACTTACTACTTTAATCACTAAGTTAAATCTACAAAAGTATTTTCAGAAAGTCTTGAACAACATAACAAAGCACGAATGTCTAAATGAAAAGCCTTTCTCATTTGAAGTGACATGTCATTAAAAGTTGCAAGAAAGAATATGGCTATTTGTCAGCTGCTTTCAAATATTTTGATATTTAGCATTTTCTTAATATTAAAAATTTACAATATAAAAAAAAAAAAAAAAACAATCATTGGTAGAAGTTTTAATTATGACTGAATATTGGGATATATAAGCTTAAATTTCTCTTCCTCCCAACTAAGAATTAAACAACAGGGCAGAATGGATTATCTAGACTTGGTTGATAAGCAGTCTGAGAAGGATAATTTTGATTTCAAACCCCTGGAGTAAACAAGAAGTCACTCAGTCATCTTCCCTAAGATTTTTTTCAAAGATTTTTGTGACTTGATAGGACTTTGGTCCTATCCTAAAAATTACTGACTGCAAAGAGTAGTTATTGACTCCTATTCAGAGAATAATAATTATTTATTACTAAATATTTCTTTAAAAATAAAATACTTTCAAAAACAGCAGACCAGCATTCACAATTACAGTCTTTCAAAACAAAATTGGGTTTCATTAAAATAAGAAAGTTAAAAAAAAAAAATCATTGTAACAAAAAAGTAACAGCTATATATATATATATATATATATATATATATATATATATATATATATATATATATATATATATATTAATCAGTCAATTTGATAAAAATGATAACAATGAAAGTTATATACAAAGGTCAGGTTGATTTTTCATTGTTTTTAGAAAAATAAACATTACACTCAGTGTGAAAGCTGGGGTTTGATGTAATAACTACTGACACCAAAAATTAAATTCATAGCTTTCACTAATTTTTGAACATTCAGTTTTAAAGACAGCCTCAAAAAAATATACAGAAATACCTAATTTTTCCAGGATTTTGCTTACAAACTGACTTCAAAAGTTTTACTATTTCAAGAATATATCCAAATAAAGTTGATATATTTTGCATTGAATGAAAAATATATTCAAACCAAAATTCTAATTATGAATCACCACAAGCAAAATATACACTTTTTTTTTAAAAAAAAAAAAAACTATTTGATAAGTAAAAACTGTGTAGGGAAAAAAAAAAAAAAAATTGTAAAAGATTACAAAAAAAGCTACTCAATGAATAAGATTTGTTAGAGCATAATTGATAAAAATAAAAATAGATAAAAGTGCATAGAACACCATAATACTGCTGGGCACAAATTATAAGACAAAATGTTTTAAATTTACATTGTTTATTGAAAATCGTACTAAAAATACTGCACTGTATAATATATAGCATCATAATATACCTAAATTGTTCAGTGTAATTTCCCTTTGAAGTAGTAAATGAAGGTTTTATTTGATAGCACAATGATTTAGTAATAATGTGCTTGTGCCATCCATCTTGTCCATATACAATTTGTAAAGCTTCAGTAAAATATAAATTTTATAAGGTTTGTGCTATAAGGCTTTCACTGATGACCAGAATGAAATTCTGACACTACGATGTTAAAACTTGTTACCTCAAGAATATTTGTAAAAGAAGATTTTGTGTATTTATTATGTCAAACACTAACTTCCAAAATTGACCTGCCCAAATATATAAAATAAACAGCAACCTCAACACAAGGCCACATAAATTGAGCACACATTGACAATTGAACCTGTAATGGTTCATAAGGCCAGTTTGTTAACCAAGTTCTACCTCAAAACTTTACAAACTGGTTCAGGAGTGTGTGTGTGTGTGTGTGTGTGTACACATACACAGAAAATTGTAATTAACCATCCTATTATTGTTTTTTTTTTTTTCCTTATATAAATTTCGATCTATACATTTAGTTGATCAACAAAAATTAATATGTTACAAAATATTTTTATCAAGTGTTAATACAAATAAATTTACAGTGCATTTTACTGTGGAATCAAATTGATAAATAGAATTTTCTTATAAAAGAAAATAAACAAAAACACTACTTGTCAAGATAAAAGCAATTGAATGATGTCAAAATGATAAAATCTGTATTATCTTTAGCAATAGGTTCATAAATGGGGAAAACAGAGTTGAACAAATAAAAAAGATTTTAAAATTATTTTAATGCCCAGTCAACAACTTGCAAGATTCAAAATATTAACTCATCATTTTTCATGGTTATATTGATGTTTGATTGACAGATTCATTTTCTACAGCTTATCAACGCTTTGCAGTTTATTCAAAGCCAGAAAATATTTTTAGATTCAAGATTTTTTTTGTATTGATTTAGCAATAAAAGTCTTACTAATTAACCCATAGCTGGGGTGCAAGAAGAGTTGGATTCACACCTTTCCCCAAGTGTATTTGCACGTAAGTAAATATAACAAACTCAGATGGAAATCAAACTGCTCTCTGATTAACAATTCTGAGCCATTATCCATTACACCACCCACACATCAAAGTTTACATCAACTGATATTCCAAAGCAGTCACCCATCTAGGTACTGACTTGGCTCAATGTTGCTTAACTCTGGTTATTGTACAGGAAATGGTGTTTAAACACCATGTGGTCATAAGCCCGGTAAAACAAGTGGAGTTGTTAAAAGCTTATAAATGTAACCCTATAGCCCACAAATGGTTTCCTATAAATATGAAAAGGGAATTTTTTTTTTTTTAAATGTTAAATGATATAAAAACAATGAATAGTGGAATAACAACTCTGCCTTTGAGCTTAAGATCATAAATGTCCCTTCAAGACAATCATGGCTCTCCAGATTCCATTTCTTTAGTATTTGAATCTGCAATGACATTTTGGGAAAGATAGTCGCTTCCTGTTGCCTTTTCAAAAACTTGAAATTCACAGCTGGCTTTCTCCTAAACTATTTGCTACCCAAGGCTAGAGATACCAGTCTACCCTGTTATTTAATACATAGCTGAATAGAGGAATTGAGTCATGCCTTTTCCAAGAGCTTTAGTGAACACAACAAGCTTTGTTGGAATTTGAACTCCAATAATAATTATACTACCAGCATATCCATTAGGTTATATAACATTAAAAATAATTACTTATCTCTCTCTCTCTCTCATACACACAATCATATATATGTATGGCAGTCTTGTCAGATGGTTTTATCATCCAGAAAAGGCTTAGCCAACACTTTTAAGAGCAAGGTCATCTTGATGAATATATGACAATGAGAACAATGACAACCAAGAATAAAACAGAATGACCAAATAGATAAATTTTACCTTTTTAAGAGTTTAACATGATACAGGAAAAATTATAAAATGTTAATTGCACACACTAATACTGGTCATTATCTTCAATCTAAAAAAAGTTGGTTCACTGTGTTGTACTAGACAATTTTTCTCGACAGAATCCATCTCACACTGTAGAATAAGTGACCATGGTTAAATGTAAATGGCAGAACTGACCAACAAACCAAATTGACAAAGTTTGTAATAAACACTAACAAGAACAAGGTACAAAAATAATATTAAGTAAGCAAAATAATATATGCAAAGCAAAAAGTTCACAAACTAATGTAGTATTGCCCTCTCTTCTGGGGTTGGTCTTGGTTGACTGGGTTGATTCAATAATAATAATGCTGCTGCCTTCCTTCTCACAGCTGGTTACTAGTTGTTTTGTTCAGAGATAAATGATAACTTCAACAAAGGAATTTTAACTATTATTTTATTAACCACCTCAATGTGTACATTTCTAACTAGCCATTAGGATCACTCTCACCCATACGAGCTTCAACCAATCAAAATCAACTTCTCGTATCTGACCTCAAATGTCAAAATGAGTAAGTCAAAGCAAAATACTATCATCTAAAAAAATAAGTCTGCTAGACAATTATTTAACATTCCCTACCTAATCATTAAAAAAATAAAAGAAAAAGAAAAATTCATTTATGAATTTTATTTCAACTATATCACTTTAAAATCTCTTCATGTCTCCAAAGCATGCTCCGTACAATTGTTCTTCAATGGGCCTTGGTCACATGACCCCTTCAACATGCACATATACAATTCCTGAAAAATAATTAACATAAGCAACAAATTTGACCAATTTTTCCTGCTTCAAATTTTTTTTTTTTTTTTTTTTTTTTAATGAAAAACAGAATACTGGACAATCCTAGCTTCTGTGACCCAAGGTCAACACCTCAGACGCCAGTCTGGATAAAGTACTCCAGCAGTGACTTTGACCTCTCCACCCAGGTCAGCAGGTACCACCTATGCAATCCAATATTCCTGGGGAGAACAGAATTCCTTGCCTCTTCACTTGAGACTACATACAATTTACAGAAAAAAAAAAATACTGGTCCAAAAATGATGCAATACATGCCAAAAAGCACCACACCACATAATCAACCAATTCCATAACTGAGCCATATCCTTGCCACCTAAATTTCACACTTTAAATATACCATGATCCACACTTATTTCCTACACACAATGAGACAACCCACACACAATCCATTATTACCCTATTTATTCAACTAAAACCAATTACTTACTTTTGTATTTGCATATTACCAGATTTGCTTGAACAAATCTTCACAAATTTACCACCATTAATTTTCTGTAATCAGTCTTATTAACCATCTGCCTCTGTGTACCAAAACTCAACTCACACCATCTCCAATTCCTTCTGCCCCAGGGTACCCCCATTACAAAAACAATTACACCTACTCAGTATCTCCTAATCAAGCCATTACTGGCTTTACTGTGGTTACAAGGGTTCCTTCATCCCTTAGTCACTACCGCAACTTGGCATCTCACAAGCCACTTGACCAATTCCTTTTGGTTGTCAAGGCCCTTCCTTGACCTCGGAGGTATCATGGGGTTATATCCACTTGATACTGAATACTTCATAGTGCTCCCTCTCTATCCCCCATTGTTACCTTATCTACATAGCCAAGTGTGACAATTTTCTCCATCAGGACACAGACCCAAACACATTCAGAAATTCAAAATTATGCAGACCGAATATTTCCACAAAAATTAACTCACGAAATTCACCAAGTAACAACTTAATTCTTCAACCAAGATAAAAAGACACACAGCTCTTAAAATAAAAAAAAATCATTTGTCAGTTAATTACAATTAACAAAATAATTCTAAACTTAAAACATTTGAATGCATGCAAAGCTATAGTCAACTCATTAACAATCCACAAAAATCACAGCGGGAATGCCTCATCACAAAATGTTGTTAGTCTTTCTTTTTCAAAACCATTTTCCATTGCCTTACGTATGTAAATTCAGGCCTCCACATGGCCAAAAGGCTGCCAGACATACAAAATTTGGATGCACGAAAAACATTAAATGTGCCAATCAAAATCAACAATAGGCTTCCACACATAATCTAAACTTTTTGTAAAAAGACAACAAAACAAAATCAGTCTCTTACTAAAATGTTTCATAAAAAATTGACATTGTAACATCAGTGTATATGCGTAAGTGTGCGTATTCATTGTCCTTTCCTTCCCCTTTTTTTTTTCCTACTTCATTCATCCTCTCTTTTTACTGTCTATCAAACCCTGCCCATTTACTGTTTATCCTTTTTTATTTTTCATCATTACTTCCTATTCTGGTTTGTTGAAGATATGTGTATAGCAGTAGAACAAAGTAATACCATCATACTTTGAGGCTGTCCAATATGTCTAAACATTTTTTTTTTTCATATTCCCTTTATTTTTGAGTCCTCAGTCCAAAAATCCTCTCCAAACTTTTTTATGTTGTTGCAACCCTCATTCTGTATCCCCACAAACTGGGAGGTACTGGTCACTGCACCAAATAATGTATATGTTGCATTGGACCCTTGTTCTGGGGTTCACTTGGGCAAGTGTCAATTAATACAAAGTTGTATATCTTCTCTCTCTTGTCTTCTCCTGGCCGGGTAGCAAAATGTCTTTGGTTTACAATTAAGAGAGAGATATCAATAAAGGAAATTTTAACTTACTAGTTTATTAACCACATCAACAGGTACATCTTCTAAATAGCCAACTGGGTAGCAATTTCCAGACACGATTTTAACACGTCTACATTCTTTGATGTGTACAACTTAACTCCCTGAAATCCATTCCCATGCTAGCTTCAGCCAATCACAATTGACTTCCCTTGTCTTTCCATATCTGACCTCAAAGGTCAAAATGAGGAAGTCAAACTAGAATACAATTCTCTAAAAAAATAATAATCTTCTAAACTATTATTTAACACTAAGAATTGGTGTTGACATACGAGTGAATTCAGATAAACAAATATAGCATTCCAACTTCAAAACAAGACAGATCAGGGCTGAATCAGTTGAGACTGAGAAGTTGCATATCTTGTTGTCTAGGAAGAAATCCCAGCATACATTTGTGTGGTTTTACCTATAAGTTGGGGAGGGGGAAGTATTTTGCAATCATTCTCACAGATTGGTACCAACATATACATAAGTCTATCATTCATCCATGCATGATTATTGCTGCCACATCTAGTACTTCAGCTATTTATTTAGAGATTCTTATTAAAATACAAAGAAGAATCTGCAAATATTATTGGTCCTGACCTGGCATTTTGGCTTCAGTCACTTTCCCATTGTTATAACAAAGCTTCCCTGTGCCTTTTCTAGAAAGGATTTTATGACAATTGTTCTGACAAATTTTCTTCGATGGTACCTAGACTTTATTTATTTAAGTGCAGTACTAGTTTAGTGGCAAGGTCCCATCATTTTACAGCTGAAATGGCCGCCAGATGTAACCAAGTCCTATGTTAAAAGTTTCTTCTCTAGCACTTCTCATTTGTGGAACGCTCTTCTGGCTTCTTGCTTTCCAGCCAACTTTGATCTTCAAAAATTTAAATGCAATGTCAATTGTTATCTTAATTCCTGTTCTTTTATTGTTCTCTCAATGTTTTTTTCATCATCTTCTCACTCAGTAAGCCCTTGCACCTTTGTGGTTTTATTTCCTTGCTTGTAGTGAAATTATTAAAAAGAAAAAAAGAATATTGCATTTTAATAAACTCAAGTGATATCAATATGTATGACAAACTCATTTATTTTATATTGTATATTGTTATAATGCTGGTCATAAAAACCTGTTTTTTTTTTTGTTTTATTACGATTGTGTTGAATAAGTGCTAATTTGAGTAAAATTTTTCTTTAAAAAAAAAAAAAAAAAAAAAACGAAACCTATTCTAGTTTATTTAAATATTTTGCAATGTTTATTTCAAGCTTTGTAAATGTCGCTAAAACATATCACGAGTAAAAAATATTGAAGACGGGTGCGGGCGAGTTAGAGGGTGGCATCGTCTGAGGTAGAAGGGACATAATTAGTCTAAGGGCCCCAAAAGGTCATAATCCGTCCCGTAGGCGGAGAGAGTAGTATTAGGAATCGTTTTCGGTAAGACTACAATGATAATTTGCACCTGGAATTGATTTCTAATGTGTATCTCTATTTTGCAACGTTAGGTTTTAATTTTTGGGGGATTACGGATGATTCCGAGTTGCATTTCCCTACAAGAGGGAGGACATACACCGTCCAAAAGCAATTGAATTTTTTTATTTTAAGTATTTTGATTTTTTGTTTCATAATATTATAAAATGCAAACATTTATCTTACTTTTTAGTTTTTGAAGAAGTTAAGAAAGGAGATAATTTAATTAGGAATTTCACCGTTAAGTTTTATACCAATAAAGTTTCTAAGCGTTAAAAAAAAAAAGCTAAACTTTTTTAAAAAAAAAAAAAAAAAAAACGACTTTGAAAAAGCGGTTAAAAAATACGACGAAGTATTTTCATTACTGTTTCTTTATTGTGAATAAAGCTGAAATAGATTGATACTATATTTAACATAATTAATCTTTGAACTGATTAAATAAAAAGTAAAAATCTATAAATTCCTATTTATAATTGTTTTTTTTTATATTAAATTTGTGCTTTACTTACATCAACAGCTTTTTGATAATTTTCGTTAACAAATTCGTCATTTGCTTTTCTGAAACGAAAAAAATAGAAAAACAAACATTAACCTACTTTTACCGATTTAGAATAAAGCAAATCTTATTAAACAAAACAAAAAACAAGTTAAATTATATTACTATTACTTAAATATCTTATGTACTTTTATAAACCGTTTAAATACGTAAAGTAAAGTTACTTCAAAACGGATCATTTTTAGAGAGTAACACGTTTTGTGGGGTCGGTTAAAAGAGAAAACGTTTAAAATCATTTAAGATAAACCACGACATACAAAGGAAGATGAAGGATACTACAAAAATTCTTGTAGTTCAGAACTTAAATCTTTAAAAAAGAGCCAGAAAATTGATCAAAGTTGCACAAATATAAACCACTTACGAAAACAATTCGTCAGACGTCTCCATGTTGGTAGCAACGATATACAGGAATTATGGGAAAATTCTGGAAACTTCCTTAAGACTGACAGAATTCGCTCCCTTGATCTACTTTTATTGCATTCATCAAGAAGGAAGAATAAGGGGGAGGGGAAAGTACTTTCTAACTACTTTCACTTTCGGTGTTAATTATTCTAGTTCATACATTCATTTTTTTTTTATCTCGAAAACAATTAAAAAATAATTTTTATAAAATGGCTTTCGTGATCATCCCTCTGTTATTCCTTTTAATTAAATAATATCACAATAGAAACTTTTTTTATTACATGTATTTAAGCAAACACATGGCTTCCCTCTGTCTTTTCTACAAATATTTTCATGGCTACTGCTCTGACAAGCTTTTTTCCCCACGTGAGTTTAAGCCTGCTACTAGATTGGCATCTAGGTCCCACCCTTTTACTTTTGAATTAAGTAAATGTAACTGCAACTTATACTCCAGCAGTTTCTTTTCTTGCAGTTCCCTCCTGTGGAACTCCCTTCTGTTTCCTGGCTTTTCTGATAACTATAATCTTCAAAAATTTAAATGCAAAGTCAATCGCCATCTTCTATAATCTTGAACCCTGTTCAGCTTTTATCCTTTCCTTGGTCCTCCAGTCTTTTCACTAACGTTTACTCTCTGTGAACCATCCACCCCCTGCATACTAGTGGCATTTCTGCCTTGCTTGAGGTTAAATGATTTTAAAAAAACAAAAAATAAATAAATAGCTGTTATTACAAGAAAATTATTTTTACTTAAATTTAAACAATACATCTTACTTAAAATTTAATGTGCATGTAGTGTAACAGTTATTGGCACAGAAAGTGTGATTGGCCTGCTGAATTCAAACTTCAGCTAAGGCATTCACTTTTGGATGAATAACATTGGGAAAGTAAGAATCCATTTCTTCTCTCCCTAACTATGGGTTAAATAGCAGTGCAGACTGGGATCTCTAGATTTGGTTGGCAACCAGTCTAGAAGAACAACAACCTGGTGAGACTATGGTCCTATACTTCATAGGATGTCTACAGGGCTAATATATATAAAATATATTTCAATTCATTTTTCCCTAATTTTCTATATACATAAAGCTACTCCAACTTTGAGATTTCACCCATCCTACTAATAAAAACTACCATTTTCTTCAATACTGCAAGATGCTATAAAACCAAAACATTGACCCTAAGAACTTAAGTCGAGTTCTTAAATAGTCTTGTCAAGCCCAGATTTTCATCTAGATATCATGCATGGTCCCTAACAGTTCAGAAACGCCTAAACTGTCAACTGTATACAGCAGCTTTCTAAGATCAATGCTTAAAAATGGCTTTGAATAAATGAACCCTGTAGGTCTTAGCAAGGACCATCCTTCTTTTAGCTTTGTGAACTGGCACTACAGAATCACAAACAAAGAATGGTACCAAATGACAGAAACCACTTGCTAAAAGACAACATTAGCAACAACTAAAATGAGTATCACATGTAACGCAAAGATAAAATAATGGTGTAATAAAGATGTTGATGTTCCACACTACTTCAAATATAAGGTTTGGAAGGATTCCCCCCCCTCCCATCAATACAGGTAAGATAAATAACAGTTAGTGAACACTGGAGAAACCTATTTTCTTGAAAAACTACTTAAAGAAAAAGATTTTATAAATTTTAAGTAGTACCAGATGTTTGGTCAATGAAAGCCAAATGTTTCCTTATAAGTAAATGGCTAATATTACTATTACCATCTGTAATAAATAGAATAAAAATGTGAATAAATTAGATTCATAAAGTCTTTTGCTTTGCTTTTAAAAATTACAAAATTATGAATTTATGAAAATTTATGACATATATGAATTATAAATAATTATGAATTATGTATTATGAATTATATAAATATGAACATATAATACAATATAATATAATACAAATACATACCCAAATTATGAATAATTATGAATTAGGAAATTCTGAAATAAATATGAAATTATGAAATAAATATGACATTATGAATTTATAAAAAATTATGAAGTTTATGAAAAATTATGAAATTTATGAAAAATTATGAAATTTATGAAATTAGATCCATATAAAGTCTTTATTAGCATGCAGAATATAAACAGCTTATGAACCACTTATTTAATCTCTGATTAGAAATAAAGAAAGAAAGACAAATGATAGCAAATCTCCAAAAGCAGCAGCAACAGCTGTAACAAAAAGAGAAAAACTTCAGTGTGTGCAGTTAAGCATGACAAGCAGCAGCAGCAGCACTCATCAGCAGGTAGGTTAGGTTTAAGACTCCAAGTTCTCCACAGAGAATTGTCCTATGGGACAATAGCCTGAGGGATTAAAACATTGGTTTGTGAATTTAGGGACATAGTAATTAAGAGTTCAAGGCTCATGAACTTGAACTTATTAGAAGCAGAGCAATACTAAAAATAAGAACCAGATGAGATGTCCCTACACATGGACAGTAGAACAAGAACAGTTTACCACTGTAGATTAAATAAAGGGTTCTGTTCAGAATTCCCTGTAGGTTACCTGATGAAGGCTGAACAGCTTCTTTTTTCTAATCATTTCATCACAAGTAGAGCAATGAAGTCATTAAGATGCAAGGGGTAACTGAGTGCTAGGAAATGAGAAAAGAAAAACATTTTTATGAAGAGAGAACATTAAAATGACAAGAATTAAGAAGATAGGAAATAACGATTGAAATTGTATTTAAATTTTTGAAGATCATGGTTGAGAGGAAAGCAAGAAGCCCGAAGAGAGTTCCACAAGCGAGAAGTGTGATAGAAGAAACTGTAAACATAGAACTTATGGTTACATCTAGCCAGTTCAACTATAACCTGGTGAGACCTTGCTGCCAATCTAGTACTACACTTAAATTCATAAAGTCTCATATGAAAACCAATTTTTTATTCATGAATAATTTAAGAAAGTGTCTGAGCAAGAGAACAAGAAAATTTAAACAAACACATAACTTTGAGTAAGTGTAAGTAATAATTTTGAAAAAAAAAATGCATTTTCCTGTCATTTCTTGCATTTGCTCTCGCCACATTAATTCACTGAAATAGGTTGCAAGCATTTGGATTTAGACAATTTTTTTCTCATGATTCAACAACAAAAATTTTAAACACTTATTTAATAGATTGTTTAGTTACAAGAATAATTTATATTTACAACATTCTAAAACTAATACAACTGTACTAAGACTAATGCAATGCAATATTTATCATTTACCAATTCATAAAGAAATAAATGTGAAAACAATTTTTTATTTATAAATTTGTAAACATTTACTAAATTATTAAAATATGTGAACCAACTATAAGGAAATCCTTATTATTTATCATTTTGTAAAGTTTGAATCAATTGTATAAGAATTTGAATTTATTTTTTTAATACCCTCATCAGATCAAAACTTTGACAAAGATGGACAAATGTGGCTGCAATAAGGTGTAGTGTCAAAAGAACATTTTTTTTCTTATGAAACCACTTCTTTTTAACTATATTCACTCTTCAACAATGTTTGGAAAAGCAATGATTAGAAATGGAATAAAACCTAAACATATGAAAGTGAATTTATACATTTTCTTTGTTTTGGGGAAATTTACAAAAATATTAAACACTAGTTATTTATAAGATTTTTTTTTCACTAGGTGAGATCTTGAGCAAGTCTTAGCAACCCCTAGCTCCTCATGCCAGGGCTATGGTAAAGTTGGTGGTAGCAGGCTGGTAGATTGCAGTTGCTCAGCACTGTCTGCATTAGACTATTTAGTCAGCACTGCTCCCTTCGGCAGGTAGACAAGTTCTCCAGCAGAACCAACAGCTAGCAATAACTAGTATAGTTACTTTGTTACTGCAGGGCATTTTCTTAGAAGGTTAGGATGGGATCTCAAGCTTTGAATGGCAACCTTCCTAGAGATGTTGCCCCCGATAAAAACACTTGATGTACTTGAACTAGCATGAATGTCTGAGCTGAGCTGAAACCATCCAGCCTTGTAAAACTTTGCCTCAAATCATTATGACAAGATCCTCTGTCAAGCAGGAACCACCTTGCTTTGTGTGAGATTAATCTCGGTCCTGCCTCAACAAAATACCAGCTATGTATGTATGCATATATATATATATATATATATATATATATATATATATATATATATATATGTTTTTAAACCAAATGTTATTAAAGACATACTGCTCATTATTCCTCTTTGATGCACACTGCTAGTAGAGCGGCCATGTTTACACTGTATCAGCAGCAAGAAAGCTCAAACTTCAATCATGTGACCACAATAGTATTAACTATAAGCATGCTTGAGCAGAAGGTAGTGTGAAAAATTTAAAGCTATATTATTATTAGGTTCACTCATAAATAATTTCCATTTTTGTTTATTGACTGTACACTTCAAAAAACAAAGTATAATGGTAAGTCAAAAAATTATCCGTACTTTCGTAACATATATTTAGGCTTGTGACATTGCCTTTTGCTCAGGTGTGCTTATAGTTGGTACTATTGTGGTCACTTGATCAAAGTTTGAGCTTGATTGGACCAGTTTTCTTGCTGCTGTTACAATGTAAACATTACCGCTCTGCTAGCAGTGTGTACCAAGGAGGAAGAAAGAGCAGTGATCGGAATATGCAAAGAACATGCTACTTCATCAATGATAACTTGATGGTTCATCATTATCATCTCTCCTCACTGATGGAGGTTGATGGGCATCCTGCTCTTTCTTTGTACATCACGCTTGTCTGGAGACTTTTAAAATTCTCAATCCGACCCATACACACTTCTACACAGTAATGCATTGTCACTGTATTGTGTTAAAAGCCTCCATTGAATTTCCTCTTCTGACTAGAGAAATTGAATCACTGCTCTTTGTTCCCTTTTAATGCACACTGCTAGTAGAGCGGCCATGTTTACACTGTAACAGTAGGAAGAAAACTGGTGCAATCAAGCTCAAACTTCAATAATATCCCCTATAAACATGCATGAGCTGAA